TACAAAAATAGAGTTCTTAATGAACCGCGTTGGTTGATTTTCAAAGCGGCTGATTTGTTGCTACTTGAGAGGAAGATAAAGGCTTACTCTTTAAACTGATAAAAATCTTTTAGAGCTATATTTGTATTATATTTCTATACATATTAATTTTCATATATTATTTTGAACTCTTTTTGGCGTATCAATAGTAAGTTTACAGAGACAATTAAAAATTTTTGTACCTAAAGTGAGAAATTTATCGCATAAAAAAATGAACTAAATTAAATACACAAATAAAATAAATCTCAAATAACCAAACAAATTTAGCAATTCGTTTTTTTTTGTCTGCCATATTCACATTCCTAAATTTTGAAGAATATGTATGTATTTTGCTATGTAAAAAAGTGTATATTATCTATTTTGTTTAAATGAAATAAATATTTTATTTACTTCTACGCATATAAATATGCATTTGCAAATTGTGATTAAACAATGTGTAAGTGTATGTATGTATAAATATTAAGATTTATAACTATATCAGACAAAATTTCCATGTAATTATGAAGGACAGGTAGTAATTCCAGTATGAAATACTACTTATGATACTCAATGTCATCTTCGCGATTTACAGGTATCAAATTGACTTCTCGTAATATCACACAGTCCTCATAATTAAAAAGTACAAGGTTAAAATATCGAATATAAAAGACCGCTATATTAACATCAAATATTTATTCCTAATAGAGCAATAAAGAACAACTAACATTCTTTCAAGTTTATCAAATAACTGTTGGAAAAGTGAATTTTTAAAAATGTTTAAAGCCGATTTAAATCAGACGGAGAAAAAAGATGGATATTGGAGAGATATAATTAAACAACTCGCAGATCATTTGTTGGATTTGGAAAGAAAAAATACCGATTTCGTAGAAGACAAACTCACGCTAGAAGGAATTAGACAATTGGACATATATATTGAAAAGTTATTGCAATTCAGCAACTCAGAGAAGAATCGGATATATCTCGAGGAAGAAAATTTGGCTTTGTCTATCAAATTACCATGTGTGATTACACCAAAAACTGAAAAGAGTGATGAATATATAACCGAAACATCTTTCAGTTCAAAAAAAGAAAATTTGACTGATTGTAAAAAAGATGAAACACCGAAAAGCATTAAAAAATTTGCTCTCGATGAGGTGTATTTTCGCTATCCAGCTGCACGAAACCTTGCGTATCCCACACCGCAATTCAATATGGCCTTATTATCAGAACATGTTAACGATTTAAACTCATATGTACAAAAACGAAAATATGAGAAAATAGAAGCAGAACCCGAAGTTGAAGCTGAAGTTGAAGAAAAGCAAAATTTGAAACCAGAATATCCAAAACGCAAGTTCACGGATGCTGAACAAGTTGTTATTATTGGACCAAATAATACAGAAATACCAGCACACAAATTCGATACAATAACTTGGACTTCTGCAGCAGCCGCCACACGTGCTGTGTTAATAAATATATTTGATGAAGATACACTCTCTACGCACACCTTAACTGGAAAACCATCTCCAGCATTTCATGATCGCCAACGCCCACCTAAGCAACGATTGGATCCACTCAAAATCAATGATATTATACATTGTGTAATGATGAAGTGCCGGTGTAACGAACGCGAAATACGCGCTGCTATTACTAGCAAATGTGCTGACACTGCTAAGAAGTATAAGAAACGTGCTCGAAAAACCATAAACTAAGATCTGGTATCTTAACTAATTTTGTACAATTATGTTTGATGATAACATATTAGCTAACTAATTAACTAATGTAATGTGGGGCTTGTAACTCTTAAAGTGAATACGATTAATATGATTATAATGAATATATGATTTTTGTTCATTAAGGGGAGCTTGGTAATCCTCTATTATCTATTTTATCTCTGTATTCAATCTGATTAAGAAAATAAAGATGTTGAATTTTGATAATGTAAACGTATATTTAATTTTTGGAGTAAAATAGTAATTAAATGGGGTATTGGAATTTTCAGGAAAAAGTACTTTTATGCTTACCAAGTGCTTTGTTAGACACGGTAATTTCATTTTCTTTATTAAAAATTTCCCTAGATTATTACCTACTTACAACCAAAGTGTGATCTTCATGTCGCATTGGTTCTGAAGATTTCAAATGGTTTCTTATAGATTATAAATGTTATGACCTTAATTAGCATAGACTTAACGCAATTGATATTACCATTTAATATAGACTTCTCATTATTTATTACTGATTATTACTTTTGATATGCTATTTTTATTATATTTCTCAATTTTTTTGGAGTCTGATTATTAAGTTTATACAGACGATTGGCAGAAAAATATAATAAATAACATTAAACAAAAAATTTAATTTAACTGGGCTTAGAAGGTAAGGTACACTAAATAGTGCACTAAATACGTTAAATACCCTATATCATTTTTGCATAATATTATGAGAAACACCGGTGTTTACCATAAAAATCTATCTTCAGCAATACTCATAGTCTTTATTGTAGAATAATTTATTTCGTTCAACATCCATTTCACTTATTATATGAGTAATTTAAATTTAAATTTAAATTTAGTACTTAAAGTTGATAGTACTTCTTAGAAACCATTTGTAAGCATTTCGCTGACATGGATGGAAAGTGAAATTATATTTATTGAAACAACGATCATAGTCGCCCATATTCTTTTCAGTATTCTTGATGAGTTGATGAGCTGCATCGTTGAAAAAATCGGTTTTAGATATTAAAACAAATGCGAAAACTAATATTGAGAGTGGAGTCTAAATAGGAGACTCCAATAGATGAATTTTAATAAAACTTCATCTATTAGCAAAAAAAATCATAAGTACCTTTAAAAGTATATTACCAAGTAATTAGTTTATAGCAACATTTATATTAGAACAAAAACTTATATATATATCGATAGGAGATTTAGGGAGAGATATAAGTAAAAATTCACATTTTGAAACAGAGTCTTATTATGAACAAAAAAATTATACTATATGGACAATTAAGTGTTATATAAGCTTTTATTTTCTATTTACATCAGGCTCCTTTTCACCAATCATTGATAAAAAAAGAACTCACAACTACTCTAAAGTACAAATATACTATTCTATATACAAAAAAGATATATAGGTATTACCTAAATTGTATTAATAAAATGAATTTTAATATCTATATATTTATCTCGATATATAAGTATATTTGCAAATTACTTTTAAACAATGGATACATGTGTGTAAAAATGTTTAGATTTATAACTACCACAGACAAACCAAAAATTCTTCGCAACTATGAAACGCAGGTAAAAATTCTATTGCAAATTAAAACTTATGGCACTATCTTTACGATTTTCAGGTATCAAAAATAATACGACACATTCACCATAATTAAAACTTTCAAGGTTAAAATTTCGAATATAAAATAGCGCTGTATTAACATCAAACATTCATTCCAAATCGAGCAGTAGACAATAAATAATATTTCTATAAGTTTTTCAAATAACTATCTAAAGTGAATTTTTAAAAATGTTTAAAACCGATTTAAATCAGATGGAGAAAAAAGATGGAAATTGGAGAGAAATAATTAAACAACTCGCAGATCATCTGTTGAATTTGGAAAAAAATAATTCTGATTTCGTAGAAGACAACCGAACACTACAAGAAAAATTAGACTTATATATTGAGAAGTTATTGCAATACAGTACGAGTAACTCTGAGAAGAATCAGAAACATCTGAAGGATGTTTTAACAAACGAAATATTTATTATACTCATTCACGAACTTTTTGTAATTAAAATGGAATCAATTAGCAGTGAACAGACATCAACACCCGCAACTGAAATGTCATCCAAATTTCCTGAAGAAAATTTCTATCCACCAACGAAGAGAATATGTCTTGAAAATAGTGACTTCGATATAGTCGAAAAGTTTTTCGAATCAAAAAAAAATAATTTGGTAACTCCAAAAACTTTGAGAACACTTTCAGTCCTTTCACTTATGAAGAAAGTACATCCTGCTACATCAAAAATCAAAAGTACTGATTCACCTCTACCTACAACATCATCCAGTTATGCAAAAGATAATAAAAACGAAAGTTTCGTAACTCAATCTACTAAAAACGAATCATGTCTTGTTCCATCAAGAAGCGAAAGTAGTACTTCACCTCTAACTATATTATATTCAAGATCAATAAAACCTGATTTTATTCAATGTAGTAAGAATGAAGGTTTCATAATCCCAAAATCTATTAAAAAGCTTGCTAAGAAATGTCGAGCGGTATTAAAAACCAAAAGGAATCACTTATCTATAACCGGAATCCAAAATAGTTTTTTTAAGGATAATGTTAACAGCTGTTTGATAACTTCAGGGATTTCTAAAAAGAACAATATCATCGATGAATTATATTATCGCTATGCAAGTAGAGGAAATTTGAATTTTATGCTAAATACACTGAAACGAAAATACAAGCAAATGGAGAATGAAGATGAACATTTAATCAAAATAGAATTTCCGAAACGCAACCTCACTGATTCTGGACAAGTTGTTATCATTGGACCAAATGGAACAGAAATGAATGCAACTAAATTCGATCAGATCAATTGGAGTTCTGCAGCAGAAGCCACACGTACTGTATTGATGAATGTGTTTGATGACAACATACTTTCTACACACACTTTAACTGAAATACCATCTCAAACAGATAACGACCGTCAATGTTCTATTAGGAAACGATTGGATCCACTCGCAATAGATGATATTGTACACTGCGTACTGATGAAATGCCATTGGAACGAATATGAAGTACGTACCACCATTGCTAGAAAATGCGCTGAAACGCACGGAACTACAAATTAATGAGAAGATACGAAACTCAGCCGCAGAATCAGAAGATACAGGAAAAATAGTACTCATCTTATGAATTACTTTTCAATATTTAATTTACATTCATTCCTACATACTTTGATTTAGAAAATAAAAATAAAAATTTTAGTAATGAAAACGAATTTTTTTTTATGTTTTTGGGGAAGTAGCATAATCAATTCTCATTTCTCATGAGAAATTAAGTCTCATTTCTCATTAAATAATAAGAATTATGTTTTGAATTTGTCCTATTTTTCTTTGCAACCGTTTGGATCCCAGGCCTGGATTTTAGGACGAGTTGTACTGTATGGCATGTATTGTTCTAAAAAAGAGAGAAAAATATGTTAAGTTATGTTAATGTAATATAGTTCGAGTTTATAGGTTATTCAAATCAAATTGGAATTCAAACCTGCAAATAAATCTTCATAAAAAAATTAAACTTCATTTCCGTATTATTTATGGAAATAACAATGTGGAATAATTGCAAAAACGTACACATCATTTATAAAACTTTAGAACCATTATTGAAATGCATAGACTCAGATATTACACATTGCATATTGGAATCAAACTTTTACACCGGATTACATTCATCATTTATAAGATTCTCAATTAGCTTATTAAACACACTCTTACCTTTCGTTCCTGACTGATTTTCAGTATGGTCAGCCATCCAAAAATATTTAGGTCGGTTTCCATCGCGTGTTGGTGGCAAATCGGTCTGGAAGTAGTTTTGCAAATTAATATTTATTAAATGAAGTAATTAATAATTAATTTTGAATCAAACCTTGTAGTGCATCCAGCCATACCATTCGGCAGGTATTTGGGAAGCATCGTAATTGAAGTGTACATGTGGTGCATATTCAATCCACCTGTTTCTGCCAAAGAAATAATAAGAATTCTCAAAATACTTGTTGCCGTATTTGTCGACGCCAACCAGTCTACCAATCTTTAAGTCATCATTCCTTCAAAAAGTGTGTATATGTGTATCTTATGTTCTTTATACAAGTAGGTATTAAAAACCGGATGATATTTACCTCCATAATTTGAGAATACTTTTACGTAGGCCGCCATTCTCACGAAAAATTTTAAAGAGCCTTCCCAAACGGTTGATACCGATATATTTAGCCATTTTAGCCATTTTAGCCATTCCCCAAGAAACATATAAAATTTATTTATACTGATCTTACTATATTGTTCAAAATAACTTATATCTTTAAGTAGTTGTTTGCAACTTTTTAATTTTTTAATAACTGAAAAAGAAATATGACAGTTAACTGATGAAAATCTAAATTTTTATATTTAGATTCATAGAATTTATGTATTCTTTTAAATTAATACAGTATGCAAAGTACACTTGATCAGCATGACGGGAAGGTTTTATTGTAACGAATTGGCATAACGATATTTGCGGGGTACTTGTCCATCAGTGCTTGAGCTACGAAAACTTTGCATGGGAATATTCAGGGGTTCAGTTAAAACAATTCAAAACTATCTGAAGAAAAAAAGCAAAATACCTGTTGTTTTTGTTGTTGTTGTTATGATTTGAGTTAGTACTATTGCGCAGTTTTACTTTTTAGTGGCTGGGGGACTTATCCCTGCCCCACACTAAACTTTAACTATACTAGATTCATTATCATTTATTTATGTTCTAACTGATAACGGACCGTAGATCAGTATGTCTTCCTGTGCGTCCTGAGGTGGACTTAAGGTTTGTTATGGTGGGGTTGCGCAATGTATCAACTTTTGTAAATAATTTTAGGGCTTTGTACTTGATATATTTTTTCACTGAGTCAATTCTTAGATCTCTATGTATGTCTGTTGTTCTAATATACCAAGGAATCTTAATTAGTCTTCTATATGCCAGATTTTGTGCTATCTGTAATTACTTTATGGCCGTATTTGAGGCTTTGCTGTATGTTACACATCCGTACAATAGTGCTGGCCTCCCACATTCCTCCCACCGTTTCTCCGTGCCACCGTTTCTCAGTGCCACCGTCGCTCACTCCTGGAGGATGCTGCCTTCTCTTTCGTGTTATGAAAGAGATGTCTTGATCTTGTCGTTGTTATATATATGGTGGGACAGCACACTGTCCAACAAGTGGCCCCACTGAGTTAAAGGATTAGTCGAAGTAGACCACGAAACTACTTGGGTCCTTTTTCGTCCTTCGATTCTCGGATGTTGTTATTGAGTTAAAGCTGGTTTGGCTTCCGTTCGCATAACTACATCTTTTGTTAATGTAAGCAGCTCATTTAGCTTGAGGTTTCCTGCCAAGTCATCACCAACCCAATGGTGTCCCAAGACAGTCTTCCTCCTACTTGCCAGTGCTGGGCATTGGCATAATATATGCACCGCTGTTTCCTTTCTTCTAGACATAGTCTGCAAGTGTCTTCCTCAGCAAGAGTTATCTTTTTGAGTTGATACTTGAAGTTGCCATGTCCAGTAATTAGTGAGGTCAGCCAGCTTAGAATGCTCCGCGAATAGCTAAGCACTTTTATCGCTTCCCTGGCCCACGGTTTCGGCAACATGAGTTTGGTCTGTCTACAAGTGCTCAATTCTCTCAATCTATTACGATGAAGTGAGGTTATCCTTTTATAGACATAGGCTGCCTTCATTTTGTAACTTAGTGGTATTCTGGGCTCTGGACCACAGAAATTATGGCTTGATCCTTGCTTTGCAAGTTCATCTGCCTTCTCGTTTTGTCGTTGTTAAAAAACAAAGACAGTTTTGTACTGCATCTATAAATGCATAGAATTAAAAGAGTTGGCCTCAATTAATAATTTACTAGAAATGTACTTTGAATGATATTAAATTTGATGAAAGACATAATATTCTAAATTAAACTTAAGACAAAAATAATAACACAGTATTAGCTATATCGAATTTCGCATTTTCAAAGTCAAGATTAAAAATCAAAATAAAAAATTTTTATTATATAAAGGCCGCAGTCCATGTCTTGGAGAAGAGAAAAAGTATAGCTGTTACTATGAAGTTATTGGTCATCTATTCAACAACTACCAAACAATCCACTATGATTGATATATATTGCCGTAATTGAATAAATAAATTAATTTTAACAATTAAAATACTATAATTAATACAAACATTACAATTATTATATAGCGCAATGCTTGCTAAAAAGATCCTGAGGTTGAAAAAAGTAGATCCCGACAGAAGACAGCTGGAGCAAGTAGATGTATCAAATCAAGGTTTAACACTTGAAACAGTAGCGGGGCCCGGACGTAGGTCACACCGATGGAAGTCTTAAATGACTAATAGGGACCCTACCACGAAGTTATACTTATGTGGTCTTGGGATAGGACATGGTCTGTAGGATCGAAGGGGAGTGGTTTCAGTCAACTTCTGGGGCGCCGGATTGAGGTCAGTATTCCTCCTAGCCGCAAAAAAAAATATTATTTTATAGATGGTACAATTATGATGTTGTTATAATAATATACAACTAGTGAATTTGTTGATGAACTTTTATAGCAAATCAGCAAGATTCGAAATTGGAACTGCACAGGTCAAGTACGGCTAAATGTTAGTTGGTTAATTAACACTAACTCTGGGGGTTAGTGAATTGACAAGGTACAAGTTCAACTTCAAGTACTTGTTGTGTCAAACAATTATTTACAAATAATCAAATATAATAAATGGGTGGGTAATGATGGGTATTTGGGTATTTGCTCAAAACAAGTGGATGGTAAATTGAAATAAAAATAAGAAGTTTATTGTTCTCAATTTATAAAACTTTTGAGGCTTTATTGAAATTCAAAGATAAACACAATATGTTTATGCTTCCTGTTCTTGCAATTGAATTAATTAAAAATAAGAATTTAGTTGTTGTAATTCACTATAGTTCAAAAACACCTTTCATGTGTATTTGCATTGATTTCGTATAAAGGAAGTTGTTCTATTCAGCCGTAAAACTTCTAAAAACTGTTCTGCATTTGAAAGTCAACAAATAAATTCGATTAAATTATGCATCTAATGGAAATGTTAAATTAGATAAGATGATATTCAGTAAATATAGAAAAAGACATTAATACATATATGTAAACTTGGAAATGTGTTTACTTTTAACAAATCCGTTTATTTGCAATGTTGAACAGAATTTTTCAAAAGCTAATGCACTTTTCGCAATTGCATGAGAACGCATACCAGATTTGCATTAGCATGAAAGTAGTCAGCCGCTTCCACGGGTTCGATGGTACGGCAGTTCCATAGTCAGTCAACTGCAGTTGGAAAACTATTCGCAGACTTCGCAAACAAGGCGCTATGCAAACACATTTAAATTACATGAGAACACGAAGCATAACAAATACGTGCCGATAGTATCCTTCATGCAGTGTTCTCCGGCGGAGTATCGTTTTCTTGGAACATTTGTCATTCCTGCGGTACGTGTCGCTATTTACATTTGTACGTAATAAATTCAAGTTCCACAACTGCAGCCAAGTCGTTTGTCACTTCATACTTCCTCTTTTTACTCGCACACACTTTTCGGTCCTTTTTACTAATAATTCACTGGAATAAATTTGTATCTGTTGTGCGCTATTTTATTTGCAACTTTAAACTGCAATTGCTGCTGATAAGCTCGAGAAATCCTCGAGAAAGAAATGGCATTAGGTGTGCTGCATTCTAGTTGAAATTATTGATATTTCTGCACATAAACAAATTGCAAACAAACTTGAAATACTTTAATCGAGTACCTATAGGTGTCTTTGATATAGAATCCGCAAAGTTGATGTTTGCTCAGTTAATGCTTCTATCTAAATTGAAAAGTTAAGCACTCTCACTCAATCGTTGAGAAATTGTTTTAAATTGTTAAATGCAACATTAAACAAAAATATGAAGTGTTTGCTTCTCAGCTGAGTAGACTTGTATCTGATGACTTCGCGTCGACTTGTAAATACTCAAGAATGCTAAGCGTCTGTCTTTAGGGCAATATTACGAGTATTATGCACCGCAATGACAGTTCATATTGTCCTTGCGCTTGTGCTGGCACTCATATTGCAGTTTCAAGACGACGAAATTTCAAGCAGTTACTGACATTTAAATGTGTTAAAAGTTTTGTGAACGTGCCAAGCCAGGAAGTTATTGAAAGCAACAGTCTGCAATGCCAACAGGACATTTTATTGGAAACGTGCTGTATCTCCTGCTGCATGTCGCGTATCAGCTTGTTGCCGCAGCACATAAGACTTCTCCGAACTGTATTTATTCTTAAATTTGTTTAAGTTTACACAATCACATGAGTTCCATATGCTTTAGCCATTTAAGTTACTTTATAGATTTTATAAATGAGTTTGAAGAAATTCTAGTTAAACTAACACACACCAGCAGATAAGTAGTTTGTGTTATATCTTCGCCATCAGAAGGTTGGCATAAGCATAGAATCTTTAATGGTATTCCATAGACACATCTTCGAACTTTAATATTGCTCACTTTCGAATAGATTTTAGTAAAAGTTTGATTTATTATTCCTTATCTTCTACAAATCCAAGCAAATCCAAGATATTAATTGTTTAAATAATTTAAAGAGAGTAACCAAGGTAGATATATTCATAAGTAAACTTAACCCCATATGACGCGGTACCAGATGCCGTTGACCGATTTTGATGAAAATTTGAACACACGTTAAGATAAATTTCAAATTTTATCAAAATACAACCAACCGTTCCTGAGATATGGGGTGTTAAGTTCACTTACCAATGGGTCAATACGTATAGTGATTTGTATTCAATTAATTCTTATGAAGAATAGTTCAAAAATGACCAAATGATATTTTTGATTTGTCGATATGTATTTTATTTACAATTTTCGCATAATTTTAAGAAAAATACTTAGTTTTAAGTGAGATGTTTATAATTAATTATAATGCAAAGCAATTTTGATGCAAATGGAGTTTATATTTGCTAAAGGCGTATTTGAGTATGACATATAACACAACGTCGGGGATCACCTTGTACTTTTACAGAACAATGGACATTAGTTCTAATGTTACTAAAATTTGATGCAGTTGAGTCAAATATAGGTTCAAGTATCCTTGATCGATAAACCCTTGACAATGTTTTCTCGAAACTGTGGTTGTAATAATAACATGCTTTTCATGAGCTAAAACCAGAACTCTTTGCGTTTTTTTGTTGATTCAGTTTTCCATGGTTAGTGAGAACTGTAGTGCACTGTGTTTTAAATATATGACTAAAAGATCAAAATCACCTTTAGCATTTATATTTGATAATTTAGTAATGCCAATTTAGTCGCACAATTCCTATAAAAATA